TACCTTTAGTAAATGTTTCTGAGTGCTTAAAATATGAAGGGACGGGAACCAGCAGTTAGCATAATGGCTATGTTGCTGGACTCCCACGTAGTTGACCGCGTGTTCGCGTCCCGGACCCGGTGGCTTGAAACTCACGCCGGGCGCGTGTGCATGCATGCCCAAGATCCCGAGAAGAGAATGGAGGAGAAGGGATTGCGGTGTGACCATCCCCCCTGGGGGGTGATTTCTCGCTTTCTGTCTCTATGTCTCTCTCTGTCTGCCTGGCGAGCGCATGCGCCCTATAGCGAAAACCTCTCCAAAAAAAAAAAAAATATATATATATATATATATATAGGGACTATTTCACATGTCTGAGATAGATTATGAATAAAACAGACAAAAGTTCCTGCCTCTTTGAGGCTATTTTCTTTCATTAGCTTGAGACCTTTAGCAGGTATGAACCAGGAAATGAACTCCTCTGGGCCTCAGTTGAGGCATTCACCTGCTGGAATAAAGGCCCATGACTTCGTAAGATCAGCGAGGAGCACTCCTGAGTGGAGCACACATCGTGGTCTCCAGATAATGATGTATCTGTGTGGAGAGCTTCCTGTGCGCTTGTCTTAGCCAAAGAACAGCAGCTAAAGCCCAAGTGCCCAGTCATGGGACTTTGTTGTCCGGCCTCCCAAGGAATGATCCAGGCAGGCTACCTAGGTGAATCTCACCTAGTTGGTACCTGATCCGGAACTTAATGCAAACCCAATCATAATTCTAATAGGTTCTATTTAAAAGAATGCAATGAGAGAGATGGGTCTCTCTCTTTTAAGAAAGTGAGTAAAAGTCCATCAGGTGGCATGGTGGTTGAGGCACTGGACTCCCACATGGCCTGCCATAGTTCAAGTCCCAGATTTGGTGGCTTGCTATCTCACTTTCCCTCTCTCTCTCTCTCTGGTGAGCACATGTGTCCTATAGCAAATTAGAAAATGATAATGATAAGTGAAATTAACTAAGTAACTTATGAAATAATTAATTTTATTATTTTTTAATTCACCAGAGAGAGAGGGAAAGTGAGAAAGCAAGTTGCCAGGTCTGGGACTCAAACTGCAGTCGGCCATATAGGAGTCCAGCACTTCAACCCCCACTCCACACTCTGGCCCAATAAGTAACTTGTTGTTGGTGTTGTTCTGTTTTGTTATAGGGTGCATGCACATGCTGGAAAGACAGAAACAGAAAGTGAGAAATCACACCACAATTCCTTTCCCTCCATTCTCCTCTCAGGATGTTGGGCATGCACACACATGCACCCAGCATGCTAAGTAATTCTTAAAACAAACAAACAAAAAACAACCAAACAAAAACAAAACGAGTAAAATGTTTGGGAACAATTTAAAGAATGAAAGACTTACTTTGTATTACCAAATACTATAAACAAGGTAAATAAATGGCAACGATCTGATTCTCAGGGACTATAGCAGTAACTGGACTTGTGTACCATCAGTCTCGTGGCATCAGCTTCTCTCCATGTAAACCTTATCTTTTCCACAGATTCTTTTTTTTTTTTTTTTGACAAGGCTGCTGGCAGCTCTAGGTTCACAATCTCACTGGGTTATGTCCCACCCATTTCTAAAATTCTAAGAGAGGTGTTCTTTCCCAAAGTTGATCCAAATATTCTTCCATGAAACATTTCAGGTCAGAAAGTTGTTTGTTTTTAGGGCATGTGTGCTCACTGAAAAGAGAAAGTGAGAAATCACCCTCCAGGGGAGATGGCCATGCCATAGTCCCTTCTCCTCGATTTTCTTGGGATTTGGGGCATGCACACACACACCTGGCCTTTTTCAAGTTGTCAGGTCTGGGACTCAAACTGAGGTCACCCATGTGGAAGTCCAGTACCTAACCACCATACTACCCAGTGGCCCCCGAAAGACAGGGTATTATGACTCACATGTGGTATATGCTAGCCCTGATGACAAAAGGAGGATGTGTTACTAAAGTAACAGAATGATGGCATTGAGAGACAAACGGCCATGTGTGGTATTTTTCTTTCTTCTTTTTGGAGAGGTTTTTGCTGTAGGGCGAGTGCGTTCACCAGAGACAGACAGCAAGAAATCACTCCCTAGGGGGATGGCCACACCGCTATCCTTTCTTTTCCATTCTCCTCTCAGGATCTTGGGCATGCACGCACTCACCCAATGGCAGTTAAAGCCACTGGGTCTGGAACTCGAACTGTGGTCAACTACATGGGAGTCCAGCAAAGTAGCCATTATGCTAATTGCTGGTCCCCATGTGTGGTATATTTACACACAACTTACCATGTGAAGACACTGAAAATCAGAGAGAAAGAAGTGAATTAAACAACTAGGATAGCCAATGGGGCATTGGCTATTCATAGAGAAAAAACTGTAAGTTCTTATATCGAATGATACCAATGGGAGCATAAGGGGTATCGAGCCCTTTACTTTGTATGTAGTGTGAGATGTCATATGTTTTGCCTTGCTAGGGCATTGGTGGATCCAGGAGGCAGTCTGGGCAGATAAGGCTTGATCAGTCACATCAGAGAATTTTTTTTTTTTTTGGAGAGGTTTTACTGTAGGGCGTGTGCACTCACTAGAAAGACAAAGACAGAAAGCAAGAGGGAATGGCCACTCCACAATCCCTTCTCCATCCTCCTCTCGGGATCTTGGGCATGCATGCACACATGCCTGGCGTAAGTTTAAGTCACTGGGCCTGGGACTTGAACCACGGTTGACTACATGGGAGTCCAGTGACATAGCCATTACACCAACTGCTGGTCCCCAGAGAATTTTTTTTTTTTCATGGGCATCTAGTTGAGCAACCCAGATAGCATGCTCAGCAGCTGTGATTTTCCCCATAATCCAGAGCACCAAAGGGGATGCTTTCAATCTGTCTCTAGTTTTCCAACTGCAGTGTCAAATATGTCAGCCACAGCAAGAGCCCAAGGGTCAATAAAAATGCAACAAGTTTCATCAGATGGAATAATGGCTATGGCTGAGAACATCCTTGTGTTCTGTCCACTGAGAAGAGTAACTACTTTCATTTTTGGGTCTGTATGTCACTGTGTTGAAATAGTGACAGCATCCTGGCTAGCCAAACCGTCAATGAACCAGACCCAATTAGAGAAACCTCCATGAATCGAGGGCCCTACTAACTCAGCCACTTTCCTTCAGGCAGCAAAGTGGGGCTATCCTATGAGATGGCTGATACTATCTCATGGACAGCTGAGACACCATGGGGACAGGACAGCTGCATTCTTGCAAGTCCAACTTTCAGGTCACAAATGAGGTTTCTTAGGTCCTTTTCATTTTGTTGTTGAGTCAGATGACAGATCCTCAAACTGGAATTTTAGACAAGAAGCCTATACTCAAGCAAGAGGCGTCCAGTGTATAAGAGCCCAAGAGTAAGCTAACAGTTGATTTCAAAAGGGATGACTCTAGTATCCTTGTCAGGGCAAGTCAAGTCTCCTTCCCTCAACTCCCAAGGTCTGCCTCTTTTCCCAGAGTTTTAGTTAACCACCACGTACAGAGAACTGAGGCTCAAAGTGGTCAACAGGGCTGTGGCTCTTTGAGGTATCTTCCTTACATGCAGCTCCTCCTGATTGGCAGCTTACAGTAGGCCCAGCATATAACACAGTAATTCCTATTATACATGCAGATAGCAAAGTAATGACATCACATTTCACTGGCCCAAAGTGCTCACACATCAGGTTACATTTCTTTATCTTCCCTACTGTGAATCCTATCCAAATCCCATGAGCTAGATCTAGGTGTTTCTATGCTCCCACAGTAACTGGTAAGTAACAGACTTGGTCACTCATACCTGATAGAGCCAGTTTGAGTCCCTCTCCTTCCCAGAATGGCTTTTCGTTTCTTCTGGAGACAGGGAAACCTTTTTCTCCTTTAAACAGCTGTGGCTGGAATATGTGGAGGTATGAACTTTGGAGGGAGGGACTTCATGTCAATAAACAAGGCACATTTACTTGGAGCTGTGTCATGGTGACTCACTGTCAACCAAAAATGACTTCCAACATTTTAGGTTCATCCAAAGCCCTGTATGAATTGGTACCATCTATTTCATTACACAAGGGATTTCTGTTGTACAAATTCTAGGATGATCTCTAAGGGCCTCCTTTATGCAGTAACTGCCTAAGTCTGTGCCCTCTGGCTAAGCTTGGCTAAACTATTTTCTGCCTTCCTAGCAGAGAGATAGCAGCATTATGTGTATTAATAGATGCATAGACCTAAATGTGTAAGAGCTCAACAGAATACATGTTTAACTTCTGTCCACAAATTCAACTGGTAAAAACGTGGAAGAGAATTTTGTTCCACATATTTATTCAGGCACTCTGTTTTCTTTTCTTTCTGTTTTTTTTTCTTTTCCTTTTCAATCTTGTGTTGTGGTCATATTGAAATGTGGTACCCACAACTGTGCTAGAAATCATATCCATTTTATTCTGATAGGTTCTTTGGTAGTTTGTCAGAGAAGGATTTTATTTGTCAGACCTGGATGTGGCATAGATCATGGGCATTTACTTTCCATCTAAGTTCCACTTAGACGAAAGAGTGACTGAGAAGTTTAGACTAGCTGTGTGTCTACGGCTGTGGCTCTTTGAGGTATCTTCCTTACATGCAGGGAATCTCCCTCCTTACATGAGGTATCTTCCTTACTGTTAACAGGGAACAGACTACCAGTCTTTGACGTGAATGAGATATCTAATGAGGCATGACATTACTCAGGAGAACTTCCCATAGTCCTTTCAAAGAAACAGAAGTCAACATGAATTCTTTGATATACTCCGAGCTTTGCTTTTGGAGAAAATTCCTCCTACGTTCATATACATATTGCTTCTCTTCTGTGTGAACTTTCTGATGTACTGTTGATGGTTGACCTCTGGAATAATTTTTTTTACATTCATCATGATAAAAAAAATTTTTTTAAGGTTTTTGCCATAGGGTGTGTGCACTTGCCAGAGAGAGACAGAGAGAAAGTGAGAACTCACTCCCCCCAGGATGGCCACACTGCAGTTCCATATCCTCCATTCTCTTGTGATTTTAGGCACACACAGACATATACGCCTAGTTTGATTTTCAACACACTCGCATTCAGTCATGTGGAAGCCCAGCACCTTAACCACCAATCTACCCAGTGGCCCCCCATTTGTTTTTTCTTTACCCCAATGAGTATTCTGTGGTGTGAAATGGGTGGTCTTTTGTCAGAATTATCCAGTTACTCTATCAAAAGGGATCTCTTTTCCTGAATTCTCTGATATACATTGAGGGTTGACTTCTTATACAATTTCCTATATTCACTGCATTCAAAAGATTTCTCCCCATTGTGAGTTCTTTGATGTATTCTGAGGTTTGATTTCTGGCCAAAAGTTTTCCCACATTTACTACACTGAAAAGGTTTCTCCCCTGTATGAATTCTCTGATGATCGCTAAGGATTGCTTTCCGGACAAAATTTTTCCCGCATTCATCACATTTAAATGGTTTCTCTCCAGTGTGAATTCTCTGATGCACTCTGAGGGTTGATGTCCGGGCAAAAGTTTTCCCACATTCATTGCATTTAAAAGGTTTCTCACCTGTATGAGTTTTCTGATGTTGAATGAGATGGTCTTTTCGCCAGAAAGATTTTTCACATTCATTACATTGATAAGTTTTCTCCCCACTATGAGTTCTCTGATGTATTCTGAGGTTTGACTTCTGGCCAAAAGTTTTCCCACATTCAGTGCACTGAAAGGATTTCTCTCCTGTGTGAATTCTATGATGATCTCTGAGGGTCGACTTCTGGACAAAAGTTTTCCCACATTCGCTACATTCGTAGGGTTTCTCTCCTGTGTGTATTCTCTGATGTCCCCTGAGGGTGGATTTCTGGACAAATGTCTTCCCGCATTCATTACATCTATAGGGTTTCTCTGCTCTGTGAATTCTCTGATGTGTACTGAGGTGAGACTTCTGGGAGAAAGTTTTCCCACATTCATTGCATTCAAATGGTTTCTCTCCTGTGTGAGTTCTGTGATGCTGAATGAGATGTCCTTTCTGACAGAAGGATTTCCCACATTCACTACATTTATAGGGTTTTAGCTCGGAGTGAATTCTCTGACGTACTTTGTGGGCTAATGTCTGATAGGATTTATGTTCGTAATATTTAAATGACTCATCCCCAGTTTGTGTTCTGCCACTGTATACTAACAGAGTCTCTCCTGTGACAATTCTCTGAGCTTGAGTAAAACTGCTGAAATTATTTGCACTTGCATTATATTCGTGATGTTTCACAGCCATGTTAAATTTATTGTGTATCTCCACAGCTGCCTTATCTAAAGATTTCTCACACTGTTTCAAGTGAGAGTGTTTCTCCCCTCTGCCAGTTCTCTTGGGGTCAAAGAGAATATTATCGGAGTTTTTCCTAAATTCATCATCTTTACCAGATTTTTCTATGTGAGAACTCTTATGTATAACACAGTCAGCCTTACCACAGGTTTTTCTAATTTCACTACATTCAAAGGCTTGCTCTGAAGATGGAAACTTTTGATGTTCAGGAAGATTTTCCTTATATCTGAGGACTTTCATGTTTTTACTATATTCCCAAAATTTCTGTCTAGTTTGAGCTCTCTCAAACTTAACTTTGTAAGGCAAGTTCTCACATACACTATGATAATCTGCTTTCTTTGCTGAGTAGTTTCTATTATTAGTAATAAATTCATAAGTATTTTGCAGATTCACTCCCCATGAGTCACATATGCAGGATATACTTGCTGAAGAAACAGGAGCTCTGTGTAGATTAAATGGTTTCCCCAAAACTTTCTCTTCCTCTCTAGTCAATGTTTTATTATTGATGAATACTACTTGCTGCAAGTGTTTACTTTTTTTGCTCCTCTTGATCAGATCTTCACCTTCGTAATCTTCTAAACCTGAGAAAAATGGAAAACATCTATGTATCTTACACCTCTAATGATCAGGGATTCTAGACAACCTAGAATGTTGAATGTTGCATTTCACTTTTTGGTTTCCCAAGATTAAACAATTCATATGTAGGTGTATAAATATATAAGCCTTCAAGCTCTTTCCTTTAAAGAATAACACAGTGCTTATGGGAAAGGAAATTATCAATAGTAACTAATGTATACCTGTAGCATGTGGCATGTGATAAGTACGATTTTCCTAGCTGGTTGGATAGAGAACAAAAGGAATAAGGAATATAAGATTAAGTTTTGTAGGAATAACTATTTCAGAAAAAAGTGAAAGAATAGGATGAATGTAATAAAAACTATTAACTAAAGAAAAGTAAACAAGAAAAACTAGGAGATAATAGTATTCATAGAATAGGTAGGTATATGAGGGGAAGGGTTTGGTTTGAGGACATAAATTACCATCTGATTATGGATATTATCTATACTTTAATGGTAGAATACTTAATGTCTATCTTCTTCCAATGTTTTTGTTTTTTTAAATTTTGCCAGTGGGCATGTGTGCTTGCCAGAGAGAAACGGACTGAGAAGGAAAGTGAGAAAACACCTCCCATGGGGTTTGGTCACAATGCAATCCCCTCTCCTCCATGTCTTCTTCTTTTCAGGATCCTAGGCATGTATGCACACGTGCCCTGCATATTTCTCTTTTCTTCTTTTTTTTACATTTAATTTTTTTGCCATAAGGCATGTGTGCTAGTCAGAGAGAAACAGAGATAGTAAGAGGGAAAGTGAGCAATTACACCCAGGGGGGAAGGCCATGCTGCAATACCTTCTCCTCTGTTCTCTTGGGATTTTGGCCATGCATGCATGTGCAACCAGTACGATTTTCAAGCCACTGGTTCTGGGACTTGAAATGTGGAGTCAGCCATGTGGAATCCAGCACCTTAACCACTATGCCACCTGCTGGCCCCACACCAGCATGTTTTTCAAGTTGCCAGGTCTGGGACTTGAGCTACATGGTTGACCATGCAGGATCCAGCCACTTTAAGCACCAAACCATGGGGTGGTCCCCAATTTTTTTCAGTTGCTAGAGGGTGTATGCATTTGCTAGAGAAAGACAAAAAGACGAGAGAGAGACAGAGAGAAAGTGCTCCCCAATGTGGCGTGGTCATGCCGCAATCCCTTCTCTTACATTTCTCCATCCTGAAGGATACTGTACACATGGACACATGTCCCTGGCATGTTTTTCAAGTCTCCAGTGCCAGGATTCAAACTGTGGTGGGCCATGTGAGAGTCTGGTCCCTTAACCCATTCTTCCAATTCGAAATCCGTCATTTCCATCAACGCTTCAATATCAAAGTGAAATTATAACAGCACAAACTTCCTATTATCAAATGAAGCTCAGGCTCTATGCCACCTGCCGGTCCCCTTCTAATTTTTACATGATCATTTCCTTCATTATTTTTTTTTTATTTTTTATTTTTTTTACAGTTTTACTACCAATATATGAACTCCTAAAAAAACGTAGTTGAGTTTTTTGTTTCTGACCTTTACACAATGCAACCATATTTCCACTTTTATATCTTCTGGCGTTTTGTTTAATAATCACTGTACAGGGCTGGCAGGTGGCGTGGGAGTTGAGGTGCTGAATCCCGACATGGCAGACCGCGGTTTGGGTCCCAGATGTAGTGGCTTGGTTTCTCACTTTCCCTCTCTCTCTCTCTTTGGTCAAATTGAGACATAAATAATAATAACAAATAAAATAAAATAAAATAAATAATTATTTTTAAAAATCACTGTATAATACTTTATGTGGCTATGCAATTCTTCCTTAAAGAATATAATTACTGGGGCCAGCAGGTGGTGCAGTGGTGAAGGCGTTCATGGCTGACTGCAGTTTGAGTCTGGACCCGGGGGCTTAAAAATCGTGCAGGGCGTGTGTGTACTCAAAATCCTGAGGAGAATGGAGGAGAGAGTGCAGTGTGGCCATTCCCTGGAGGTGCCTTCTCACTTTCCCTTTCTTTGTCTCTTTCTAGAAAGTGAATGAGCCCTATGGCAAAAACCTAAGAAAGAAAGAGAAAAAAAGATTACTAGCCATTTTGAAAGTTCCTGTTCAAAGTCTTTTGCTCACATCTTAATTGGGTTGCCTACTTTTTCCCACATTGACTTGCAGAAGTTCTTTACATTTTCAGGAAGCTTACTATTCCTTCCTTTCTCCTTTCCTGTTTTATTCCTTCCTTCCTTTTTTTAAAAATTATTTTGCCAGAGGGCACATGTGCTTATCAGGGAGAGATGGAATGAGAAATGGAAGTGAGAAAGCAGCCCCGCTGGAGATGGCCACAGTGCAGTCCCTTCTCCATTCCCTCTTTCAGGAATGTGGGCACACATGCACATGTACCCAGCATATTTTGCAAGCCACAGGTCTGACAGTCAAACTTTGTGGGATCCAGTCACTGTAACCTCCATGCTACTGGCTGGCCTGGGAGCTTACCATTTCTCTTTTTCTTTTTCAAAAAGATTTTTTGCTATAGGGCATGTGTGCTCGCCAGAGAGAAACAGAGTGAGAAATCACCTCCGGGAGGGATGGCCATGCCGCAATCCCTTCTCCTTGATTCTCTTCTCAGGATTTTGGGCACACATGCACACGTGCCTGGCATGAGTTTAAGCTGCTGGATCTGGCACTCAAACAACAGTCACCTATGTGGGAGTCTAGTGACATAACCATTACGCCATCTGCTGGTCCCCAAAGCCCACCATTTCTAAGTTACTTGTACATTATATATATTTTGTTACTCTGTGGTTTGTCTTTTCAATTATTTCAACAATATCTTTTATAAACATAGTTCTTAATTTTTATGTAGTCAGTTTTTTTGTTGTTGTTGTTGAGGTTTTTGCTATAGGGGACGTGTACTCGCCAGAGAGACAGAAAGTGAGAAATCACCCCCAGGGGAGATGGCCATGTCGCAATCCATGTCGTGCCCAGCGAGAGTTTAAGTCACCGGCTCCAGGACTCAGACCGTGGGCGACTACATGAGAGTCCAGCGACATGGCCAGTACTCCATCTGCTGGTCCCTGTAGTCAAGTTTATTAATCAGTTTCTTTTGAATGGTGCTTCTTGTACCTTTGGGTTTTCTTTCTTTCTTCCTTTAAAGAATTATTTTTAATTTAACTTTATTTATTTACTTATGTTAATTTGACCAGAGAGGGACAGAGATAGAGAGAGAGAAAGTGAAAAACCAACCCGCCAGATCTGGGACTTGAACAGTGGTCAGCCATGTGGGAGTTCAACACCTTTAACCACCACGCCACGCGCCGGCCCCTACCTTTGGGTTTTCTATGATAAATCTTGCAAAACAAAAGTATTCACCCTCAGACTACCTTCTGGAGCCTAACTATCCCACAGAATTCTATTCACTAGTGCTCAGTAACTCACTTGAGTAACTCTTGTTCAAGAATTCCTCCTCGGACATCCAAGGCTCTTCTCCTTGTTCCAACTTGAAGATTACCTCTGGTCTGAAAATGCAGTACCCTGCAAATAGGAACAACTGAGAACATAAGCCAGATGCGTGAGGTTTTGGTATCCAAATGTGCAAGAGAGACACTTTGAGGAGCAGCATCCTGAAGCTCATTTGAATTAACACTGGGCACTGACAACATGAACATTTTTTCTGGTTTTGAAAAGTGCTCAATCACTTTTAGTCTCTTAAACAAAAAGCCTAAATAACAGTAAACTTTAAATAAAGTGTTTGCATCTACGGGTACTTAAAAAGGAAATGCTGCCTGTAAGGAGTTCCGAGGTAAGTTATGATTATACGCACCCACGGAGACCAGGTGGCTGTAGTTTTCCAGCATCACGTCTCTGTACAGATCCCGCTGAGCAGGGGTTATTTGTTGCCATTCTTCCTGGGAGAACTTCACAGCTACATCCTTGAATGACACTGAAGCCTGTAAGAGTGCATTTCTGTTCAATCTGAAGGATTTGGAATTAGATGACATGGAAAATACACACGAAAACAATTCTTAGGCCGACAGATGGCATGGAGGTCAGGCAGTTGGAACCCATGTGGTTGATTGCGCAGCTTCAGTCCTAGACCCGACGGCTTAAAAACCACTCTGGGTGTGAGTGTGTGCATACCCAAAATTCTGAGAGGAGAATGGCAAGGGACTGTGGTATGGCCATGCCCCGCCCCCTCCCCCCCCAATCGAGGGTGCTTTTCCTCTCTTTCTCATCTCTATGTCTGGCAAACACATACTCCCTATACCAAATATCAAATATCGAAAACAAAAAAAAATTATTATCCTGTTTATCATAAAGAGTTTAAAAGGGACCAGCAGTTGGCATAATGGCTATGTCGCTGGACTCCTATGTAGTCGACCGCGGTTCGAGTCCTGGACCTGGTGGCTTAAACTCATGCCAGGCGCGTGAGTGTGTGTGCCCAAGATCCTGAGAGGAGAATGGAGGAGAAGGGATTGTGGCATGGCCATCCCCCTTAGGGGGGGATTTCTTACTTTCTGTTTCTCTGTCTCTCTCTCTCTCTTTCTGGCGAGCGCATGCACCTTATCGCAAAAACCTCTCCAAAAAAAGAAAAAAAAGTTTAAAACAATATATATATATATATTTTCCTTTTCCTTTCCTTTTCTTTTTGCATCTATCTATCTACCTACCTATCTATTTGTGATGATTTTCAAGCTGCCGGGCTTGAGACTCAAACCCTGGTCAGCCATGTGGGAATCAAAAGAGGGAATCTAAAGAGAAAAAAAGAATAAAAAAAATCAAAAGAGAAATCTATAAATATATTGGATCTACTGAAAAATAAACACACAAAATACCTGAACTTGTGAGATACAGCTAAAGCAGTAGAGTAAAATGAATAGCTGTAACACTTACATTAAAAAAGATCTTGGGCCAGCCAGTGGGGTGGTGAAGGCAGCTGAATCCCACATGGCTGACTGCGTGGTCCTGGATCTGGTGGCCTAAGAAACATGCTGAGCATGTGTATGCCTAAAATCCTGAGAGGAGAATGGAAAGGAGGGATTATGGCATGGCTAGCCCCTGGGGGTGATACCTCACTTTCTCTCTCTCTGGCGAGTGCATGTGCCCCATGGCAATCAATCACTCAATCAATTTTTAAAAAGGAAAAACAAAAGATTTCAGGCCAGCTTCATGACCTAGTGGTTAAGGGAGCCAGATTTCACACAGCTGTCTAAATCCAGACAGGATGGAGAAATGGAGAAGAGATTACATCATGACCATCCTCACTGAGAGAAACTTTCTCCCTTTCCCTCTCTGTCTCTCTGTGGAGACTGAATACATTTGACAAAATGAAAAAAAAATCTCAAATCAAGAATTGAACTGTACACCTTAAAGAACTAATGACGGTCGGACATTACAGAAATAAAAACAACAGAACACAATGAACAACTGTACACCAACAGATTAGATAACCTAGGTGAAATGGACAAGATCACTGAAACACACAGACCAAAAACCGACTTAGAGAGAAAGAGAAAATGTTAACAGATTCACATATGGAGATTGAATCAATGATCAAAATCTTCCTAATAAAGAAAGCCTAATGGGGGGACCAGCAGTTAGCATAATGGCTATGTCGCTGAACTCCAATGTAGCTGACCATGGTTCGAGTCCTGGACCCAGTAGCTTAAACTCACGCCAGGCACATGTGCGTGCATACCCATCCCCCCGGAATGAAGAAGGGATTGCGGGATGGCCATCCCCCCTGGGGGGTGATTTCTTGCTTTCTGTTTCTCTGTCTGTCTCTGTCTTTCTGGTGAGTGCATGCGCCCTATAGCAAAACAAAAAACCTCTCTCTCAAAAAAAAAAGAAAGAAATCCTAGTGGGGACCAGCAGTTGGTGTAATGGCTATGTTGCTGGACTCCCATGTAGTTGACCATGGTTTGGGTCCCAGATCTGGCGGCTTAAACTCATGCCAGGCACATGTGCGTGCGTGCCCATCCCCCCAGAGGGTGACTTCTCGCTTTCTGTCTCTCTGTCTCTCACTGTCTTCCTGGTGAGAGCATGCACCCCATAGCAAGAACTTCTCTCAAAAAAAAAAAAGTAAAAAGAAAGTAAGTCTAACATGTGTGTATGCGTGCCCCAAATCCCAAGAGGAGAATGGCGGAAAAAGGATTGCAGCGTGGCATTTTCCCTGGGCACGGGGAGTGGGGTGGTTTCTTGCTTTCCCTCTCTCTGTGTCTCTCTCCTCTTTGATAAGCACACGCACCCTATGGCAAAAACCTAAAAAAAATAAATAAATAAAAAGAGAAAACCCAAAACCAGCTGGCTTCATTTGTGAATCCAATAAAACATTTAAAGAACAATCAACAGCAATCTTTCTCTAATTTTTTAAAAACAGAAAAAGAGGAAATACTTCTAATTCATTCTTTAAAAAAAGTTACCTTTAAAAAAAGCCAGTAAAAGAAATCCTAAGAAAACAATCTATCAGTATTTCTTATAAATATAAGTATAAAAGTTGTAACAAAATATTAGCAAACCAAATCCAGTAGAATATATAAAAGGTTTATACGCCAAGTCTAAGTATAATTTATTTCAGGAGTGTAGGAAAACCATCAATGTAATACATCTCATTTCCAGAATGAAGGAAATAAACCACACAATCATCTCAAATAACACAGAAGAAGCATTTGACAAAACCCAACACCTTTTCATGATAAAAACATTCACCATAGTAGGGATAGGAGGAAATTGTTGTTTAATTTGCTGGTGGGCGCATGCGCTTGCTAGAGATAGGGATAGAAAGAGAGATCCAGCCACCTTAAATTAACCACACCACCACCAGCTGGCCCAGGAACTAAATTTCTTTCTTTCTTTTCTTTCTTTCTTCTTTCTTTCTTTCTTTCTTTCTTTCTTTCTTTCTTTCTTTCTTTCTTTCTTTCGAGAGATTTTTGCTATAGGGCACATGTGCTTAACAAAGAGACAGAGAGACAAAGCAAGAAATCACCCCCTAGCAGGGATGGCCACACTGCAATCCCTTCTCTTATATTTCCTCTTGGAATCTTGGGCACACACGCACACGTGCCTGGCGTGAGTTTTATGTCACTGGATCTGAGACTTGAACCACGGTTGACTACGTGGGAGTCCAGTGACCTAACCATTATGCAATCTGCTGGTCCTGGCCCAGGAACTTTCTCACCATAATAAAATATAATCTATGAAAACTCACAGCTAACATTATATACAAAGCTAAAATCAAGAAACCTTCCTACAAAGATCAAGAATATAACATGGATGCTTTTTACCATTTCAATGTATTGTAGTGGAAGTTCTGGACAGAGCAAATAGGCAAGGAAAAGGAAAAAAAAAAGGGGGGCATTCAGGGGATAGCAGGTGGCAAGATGGTTAAGGCTCTGAACTCCCACACAGCCAATCACGGTTCAAGTCCTGGACTTGGTAGCTTGAAAACCATGCCAGGCATGAGCATGTACATGCTTAAAATCTCAAGAGAGGGACCAGCAATTGGCATAATGACTATGTCGCTGGACTCCCATGTAGTTGACCATGGGTCGAGTCTCGGATCCAGTAGCTTAAACTCACACTGGGTGCATATGCGTGCATGCCCAAGATTCTGAGAGGAGAATGGAGGAGAAGGGATTGCAG